TAAAAATAAAAATAAAAAAACCTGAAGATTAATTTTACTTTTCTATTCTACATATAGAAATGGGGGGGGTACTTGGATTCTAAAATACCCGACCAAGATGATGATATTGATGATGATGATGATGATGATGATAATACCTTTTCAACTTACCACTAGCGCAGAAGAGCACATGCCAAAAGATAGAACCCATCGTAAATTAAGCCGATCTCCAACAATTCCACTGATGAAAAGGCCCTAAAAATAAAGCATTTTATTTTACAGCTCTTAATAACAACACAGCCTGACAAAAGGAAGATGTTTTGCCAAGCAACTAGGGAAATAAAACACTAACATGACTCAAAATTAAACTTCATTCTTAAGCCCAGACTAGCTGTCTCCATCAGCTTCACAAACGTTCCATGAAACGACAGTGCGCTTCTGCACATTATACTATAAACCAACTCACGCACCAAAATACCGTAATCCAGTATAAACTTTGATTCTACCAAAAGTAGATCCCCCTCACTGCCTAAAAGGAGACTGGAAAAACAAAAATAAAAACAAAACGGAACAAAACTAGGAATACTAATAAAACAAGCACACAAATATATTTCATTTTCTAGAACAGATCAACTCTTAAAGATCAGTTATCTGCATTCCCAGAGGCTGCTCTTAGCCATCTGCATTCTGAATCAAGGTATGTTACAACATGTCCTGCACCACAGAAGCTTCTGGGGCACAGGCACTGCCTGTTTAATCTGACCTTTGGGTTTCATGACCTCACGAGGCAGGGAGAGTAGGGACGCACAGACGGTAATTAGCTGAAGATAAGTACAAATGTTCTGCCTTCTGCTCTCCTCCCACTGAGTGGCCGGAAATAAAAACCTGGGTCATGGTAGCAAGGCAGACTAAAGAGCCCAGGGCAATACACTAAGTTTCTTCCATAAATCTGTAAAATGAATCAACACCCTGACCGAAAACCTAAATCCAGATACAAGCGTTTCTGATCAACTGATGACATCCACATTAGAGAAAATTTACATGATGTGTCTTATTATGGTCAACCTGTCACAACCTCAAAAGAGGCACCTGTAGGCTTTCGATTCTGTGCTCTATAGCTGCCACTCACATGTCTTATGCTATATATAGTAAAGGGGGTGAAGAAAATCTCTCAGTGTTTCAGATCGGGGATTCAATTCATCCGTGTTGTTCCAAATGCCCGCATGACACCTGGAAGCTACAGAAGAACATGCAGCTCGATATAAAGAAGAAGAATGATCACTGACGTTTCGTGGTACCTTTTATCTCCTAAACCTATTTAATCCTAGGGATAGGTATTATCACAACTCTGTAGAAGAGGAAACTAAAGATCAAAAGAAGGTTCCATTTCAAAAAAGTTTCACACAGCTAGTTGACGGTGGAAGAGCTGGTCTTTGCACTAGACTACACCGCTTCTTAAAATACTCCATAAAAGGCTCAAAGAGAGGCACCCCTGGGAGTGCTCCAGCCAAAGCCGGATGACCCTGTACTAGCATTTCATACAGAAAACGCCCAGGGTGAGGAGCATGGCTACATGATCGAAGGTCTGCTCCAATTGTTTCTACAAGTTTCCTCTTTGAAGAAGACATTCCAATAACTGCCCAAATAAACATTCAGAGAGTATTTTAGGACTTTCACTGGGTATTTCACATCACCTGGACATTCGTAATTAAAAGGCTTTTTATGGAGCACTTGGGTGGCTCAGTCTGTAAGTGTCTGACCCTTGATTTCGGCTCAGGTCATGGTTTTGGGGTTGTGAGATTGAGCCCCGTGTAGCTTGACAGGGAGTCTGCTTGGGATTCTCTCTCTCTCTCCCTCTGCCCCTCCCCCTGCTTACGCATGCACACACGCTCTCACTCAGAGAAATAAACCTTTAAAAAAAAAAAAGGCTTTTGTGTAACTGTACACATTTTCAAAAGAGGAAATCAGACACTGGGAGGAAAGGAGGACCACTCACGGTGCATGGGTCCAGTGGCTACCACCACTTCCCACAGCCTTAATTCAGCAACCACCAGACTTGCTCCCTACAACCACACAGAGATTCTACCTTCAAAACACAGTTAAAACCTACTCTTCCAACCTCTGTTACTCCCACCCTAGATCTAAGCCACTATCATCCTTCACCTCAAAATCGGAATAGCCTAACCTGTCTCATTTCTGTCTCTGCCCTTTGGTCCAGTCTCCCGGGGCAGCAAGTGCGCCTGTCCAAACACAGGGCAGATCCTGGTACTCCTCTGTGCAAAACCTTCCAGGGCTCTCATCTCACTCAAGATTAAAGCCAAAGCCCAAATAAAGGGACCAAAGTCCTAAAGGTCTGAGCCCCATACCTTCTCTGGCCTCACTTCCTGTCACTCTGTTCCAGTCAACCTGACCTCACCCACGTCAGGTCTTTGCTCAAATATCCCCTCTTACCTGAGGTCTTCCCCAGCCATCCTACTTAAATTACAACTCCCACCCACAGCTATTTATTCCCCTTTTCCTGCTTTTTTCTCCACAGCACCTACCCCCTTCAACCATACTCTCTATTTGCTTACGTATAGCATTGTATTACTGTTTGTTTTCCTTAGATCCCACTTCAAGAATGTAAGTTTTATAAAGCTAGGGATTATTCCTGTGTTGCTCATCGATGAACTCCCACAAACCTGGCACGTGCTAGGTGTTCAGTAAATATCTGTCAAATGGATGAATAAATGAATGTATGGGTGGGTGGAAGGATGGATGGATGGGAGGGACACAGAATATAAACTTCAGCGATGCTGAACTCTCCTCAGTCAGCAAATTCTAGAATCCCTTACAAACTTAATAAGGTTGGGAGTCGTTTCCATTTACATCTTTCCTCAACCTAAAACCCCCAAATTCTAAAACTTACCACAGCATAAGAGAAGAGGAAAATAGTATCCAGTGTCCCGAGGAAAAGAGTGGCTTCCTCTGCGCTGGGAAACAAATGGTTGCTGCTCCAAATCTAGAGCAACACAACAAGAACCACGTCAGTCCCCGCTGGTACCTGTCAGTCCTTCCTCTTTCTCAAAGCACCTTCATCTACAGCCTCTGCCCACCCTCACAGAACCCTGGGGAGGTTTAATAGAGGAAACCGGCACTCATGCCGAAAGGTCTGCAAGGTCAAAGCTATTTGCACAATACTGAAATGTTATCTGCTTTTGCCCTTTAACTTTTCCCTTGATGGTGCAAACGCAGTGGGGGAAAAAAATAACAATCGCTATATTTACTGCCACGGTCACAGTTTAAAAAAAAAAAAAAAAGCCAATTTCACTTCAGAACATCCTTGGTACATGCTAAATGCTCAATACATATTTGTGGAGTAGTGGGGCACCTGGGTGGCTCAGTCGGTTGAGCGCTGGACTCTTGATGCCAGCTCAGTTCATGATCTCAGAGTCGTGAGATCGAGCCCTGTGGGCTCCGTGCTCAGCGCAGAGTCTGCTTGTCGCTCTCCCTCTTTTCCACCCCCTCACGCATGCTCTCTCTTTCTCAAATAAATAAAAATCTTAAAAAATTTTTTTGTTGTTGAGCAGTAAAAAGTGTTCATTTTACTAAAGCTGGCCCCTGAGTACACTTATTTTTAACACCCTGTGTGCCGGAGTGGGGAGTGTGTAGAGCACTGGGCACAGCAAAGTACCGGGGCTGCACTGAGGGAAAGCACTCGGCAGCTGTGTGAGGTGCAAGCGAGGAGACTGTTTTTTACTTGAAAGAATGACTGACAGACAAGCTATAGTTATTCAGATTTGGGTATTTGGCAGACATTTCCTCAAAAAAGAACGAAAGAAGCCTGTCACTTCAGAATCCATTCAAAGTAAAGACAGACAAATGGATCTTAATGTAAGGGTATAAAAAGTTAATTGATACAGTTTCAGATTCCACATGGCAACTAACCTCTAAGAAACTGCCACTTGTCAAAGTCTGGTGTAGTATCAAAGATGAATGCCCACAATTAACTGAAAAGGCTATTAAAATACTTCTCCCCTTCCCACTATGTATCTGTCAAAGGTCAAAATCTCTTCGTATAGTTCAAAGGATCATGTTGCAAGAGACTGAATTCAGAAGCAGACGTGAAAAACTACTATCTTCTATTAAGCCAGACATGATGAGATCTGCAAAAATGTAAATCAATGCCACTCTCCTCATTAAGTGATTTTGTTTCAAAAAATCATCTTTCATAAAATGTTATTTATGTTAACACATTATGAGTTTATTTAATTCACTTAAAAATAACTTAAAAAACCTATGTATTTTTTAAAGATTTTATTTATTATTTATTTTAGAGGTCGGGGGAGAGGCAGAGGGAGAGAGAGAATCTCAAGCAGACTCTGTGCTGAGTGTGGAACCCGACGTGGGGCTTGACCCCAAGACCCTGAGATCATGACCTGAGCCGAAATCAAGAGTCAGATGCTTACCCGACTGAGCCACCCAGGCAAGCCTCCCCTTTTTATTGTTGAAAACCGATGTATTTTTTTTTCAATTTCTAGTTTTAGTTTCTAAAACACTAAGTATCTAAAAATATGAACCCACATAGCCAAAAGCTCTTTGGGATCCTCAGAACAAAAATTTAGAGAACTACAGGAATAAACGATTTCTGAGATGGGTTGTCACAGAAAAGAAATTCTGACTCTAGAATATTAAGAAGAAAAATCACAATCAGCAATAAATAAAATCTTTAAAACAAAGTAAAATTATAAAATATATAAAGCGTGATTCTAAAGGATTGGGACTCACTTCTGTGTGGCTTATGGCACTGGTCTTGCTCCTTTAACACCACCTCACACACTGCTGCCATGACAGAGAAGAGCCTACAAAGCTAAGCTCCATCAGTGTGCTAAGTGGGGCCCTAAAGTTCTCCAGTTAGAGTTATTTTGCCACATTTTCCCTCAGACTTTGACCCTGATGTTCATCAGGACCCAGGACTAAGCCCTGTTGGGCATACACCAACGTGAGCTAGAGACCACGGCCTCAAGCAACTGCTCGAAGTTTCTGGAGTTTTTCTTTATTCTCTCAAGAGGTCACCAAAACTCCCTGCAGGTGTGGCTTTCACAAGAACTGACAGACTTGAAACAGCTTTCTTCTGCTTCACTGCCAGAATTCAGCTGAAATATACTTTTGATGGCTTACTTAACAAATAGAACACAAAACCAAACCAAAAACTAAAAAAACCAAGTAGGACTAACACAAAGATACAGAAAATAGGATAATAGAAAAAGCCTAGAAAAGAAAGTTTACTTCAGTCACAGAAGTCAAAATCAAGACAAGTATACCAGTTAGTAAGAAATGGTCCGTCCAAAGGAGTGAATCATCCAATGTTTCGTGAAAGTCACCGACAAAATGACTTTACCATGCTGAAACCCCACACACTTCAGTGGTTTAAGCTGGCCTGCGTGTATGTACAATTATCATGTGAACCCACCGGCCCGTATGAACATGGGGTTTTCCTGTGTCTGATGGGGAGGGTTTGCACGAATCTACGAGAACAGCGGCATGCTGAGGCACTTCCTGGAAACACGAAATTGTGTGCTTATAACAACAGTGACAGTGTGGGTTTCCTAAGCGAGAATGTTCATCACCGAGTGAGGGCGAGGCATGGGGTGGGGACCTACTGACAAGAGATTCCAGCAGTGGTGAGCAGAGGATGAGCTCATGCTGACCTGCGTTCAGGGGTCTGTTCTCTGCCTACGGTGAGTGGTATCAGTTGACGTGAGGTTCTTCAGGGAAAGAGTGGCTGTGGATGAGCTTGAGACAGAAAGCTGAGGACACCCTGAATCCCGCTTCCCTCTCCTGGACAGTGGAGGCTCCCCACGCTATTCTCATGGAAGGACTATACTGTCTAGAGAGGTAAGGCTTTTTAATTTAGTGAACAAAATTCTGTTTACAATTTTCAGTCAAGTTGTCTGACTTGTCAAATTTAACCATTACCTCCTTATTATCTCTATACATAGATCTTATGTTCACTGGCTGTTTTCAATGTTTGTGCAAATCAGAGGGATCCATTATAAATTCTCAAGGAAAAGACACTGTGTGTGCTTAATTCTTTTTGTAAAGCATCTAAGATAGCTATGCATAACAATGAAAGCTATCAAAAGTAATTTTTGATGATGCTGACACTTAAGAAATGTTTAACAATATATAAGCAAAATACTTTTCAGAATAATTCCACATAAACTTCTGGTTCTAAGAATGCTTCCCACTGTGGCCAAGAAAGGAGGTCTCAAAGGGAGGCCAGGGTTGACAGTTACAGACCCAGAAGCACAGGAAGAATGAAAGGCACAGATGGCCCCAGGAGCTCCACTCCCAGCAGTGGGCTTCAGAAAGGAAAAAAACCAGACCTTAAGGTCTAAAGAAAGGAACAGAAGGTCAGCACTTCTGTCCATGATGGCAGAGATGGAAGTACAAACATCTCCAGGATCAGTCTGAACTTGACTTCTATATAACCAATCCATCCAAACTACTTAATCCATAGTTCTGAAAAACCAGAATGGTGAAACCTATTTTAGCAGCAATTAGAGTAAAAAAACAAACAGCTAAGCAGAAAAGTTAATGCAAGTCCCATAAGAGCTAATAATGTGACATAGTTACTGGCAGGAAAGAGTTAACACGGCAGGCCTGGGGGGAGGGGGGATTGGTTAGCCAGGTGATGGGTATTAAGGAGGGCACGTACTGCATGGAGCACTGGGTGTTATATGAAAACAATGGATCGTGGAATACTACATCAAAAACTAATGATGTGATGTATGGTGACTAACATAATAAAATTTTTAAAAATTAAAAAAAAAACAAACAAAAAAAAACACGGCAGGCCTGAGACTGTTCTCCTCAAAAGGGCCTACTTGTGAAGTGAGCCCCTTGGCTGGCATCTGGGAACTGGGATTTTGGGAGGGTTCCCATCCTTCTCTGCTAAGAGTGGTTCACTGTACCTAAACTGTTTGTACAAACAATGTGGTTTATGCTGAACCTGCTTTCCTCCTGAGAGTCTGGAATTTTTGTATGTGCCAGGCACAGGGCGCCTACATGACCAATCCCAATAAAAACCCTGGGCGCGGAGTCTCTAATAACCTTCCCCAGTAGACAAGATTCCACCAATGCTGTCACAACTTGTTGCTAGAAGAATTACATCCATCCCGTGCACTCCACCGAAAAAACACTCTTGGAAACTTGTACCTGGCTTCCTCCAGACCTCAGCCTGCCGAGGTTTTCTTTGAATATTCAGCAGGCTGTCATGTAGCAGGAATCGACTACTATGCGTGGCTCAGAAGAAAACCCAAGATCGAAATTAAACAGCAGAATAGTTTTCCCTCAATACAAGGAAGAACTTCCTCGAAGTATTAAAGCAGAAGGTGAGTGAGCATCTTTCAATAATGACAAAGAAAGATTCCATTCTGGCTGAGAGGTCAGAGCACACGACCCCTCTAAGGCCACCCTGTTCTGAAGGTTTGTGATAAGTCACTTGATCACTTAGACATACTCACTGTGCACACAACACTAGTCAAGACTGAGTGTGAAATCTAGCCCTCTAGAAATCCAAATCAAAACCTCAATGAGATACCACCTCACAGCAGTCAGAATGGCTAAAATTAACAAGTCAGGAAACGACAGATGTTGGTGGGGATGCGGAGAAAGGGGAACCCTCCTACACTGTTGGTGGGAATGCAAGCTGGTGCAGCCAGTCTGGAAAACAGTATGGAGGTTCTTCAAAAAGTTGAAAATAGAGCTACCATATGATCCAACAATTGCACTACTGGGTATTTACCCCAAAGATACAAATGTAGGGATCTGAAGGGGTATGTGCACCCCGATGTTTATAGCAGCAATGTCCACAATAGCCAAACTATGGAAAGAGCCAAGATGTCCATCGACAGATGAATGGATAAAGAAGATGTGGTGCATATATACAATGGAATATTATGCAGCCATCAAAAGGAATGAAATCTTGCCATTTGCAACGACGTGGATGGAACTGGAGGGTGTTATGCTGCGTGAAATAAGTCAATCAGAGAAAGACATGTATCATATGACCTCACTGATATGAGGAATTCTTAATCTCAGGAAACAAACTGAGGGTTGCTGCAGTGGTGGGGGTGGGAGGGATGGGGCGGCTGGGTGATAGACATTAGCCGGGGTATGTGCTATGGTGAGCGCTGTGAAGTGTGCAAGACTGTTGAATCACAAACCTGTACCTCTGAAGCAAATAATACATTATATGTTTAAAAAAAAAAGAAGAAGATAGCAGGAGGGGAAGAATGAAGGGGGGGAAATCGGATGGGAAGACGAACCATGAGAGACGATGGACTCTGAAAAACAAACTGAGGGTTCTAGAGGGGAGGGGGTGGGAGGATGGGTTAGCCTGGTGATGGGTATTAAAGAGGGCATGTATTGAATGGAGCACTGGGTGTTATACGCAAACAGTGAATCATGGAACACTACATCAAAAACTAATGATGTAAATGTATGGTGATTAACATAACATAAAAAAAAAATCTAGCCCTCTATTCTTAACATCTTTTCTTTTAAAAGTTCCTGATAACTTAAATTCAATAAAAATTGTACAAGAGGGCTGCCTGGCTGGCTCAATCGGAAGAGCATGCAACTCTCGATCTCGGAGTCATTAGTTCAAGCCCCTTGTTGGGTGTAGAGATTACTAAAAAAACAAAAAACTTTTTTTTTAAAGATTTTTTATTTATTTATTTTTGCGCACACCAGAGAGCAAGCTTGAGCAGGGGGGAGGGGCGAAGGGAGAAGCAGACTCCCTGCTGAGCAGGGAGCCCAAAGCAGGGCTCAATCCCAGAACCCTGGGATCATGAACCGAGCCACCTAGGCACCCAAAAATAAACTTTAAATAAAAGGGGGTGGGAAAGAAAAATCATAAAAGAGCATCTTCAACAGAACATCAGTTCTGTGAGGACAGGCTCTTTTTTTCCTTTTAAACCTTTCTCTAGGTGTTTTTGGGGGTGGGTAATGCTCACTGCCTACAACAGTGTTTATGCAAGACAGACAGACCCTCAATAAGCAATTGACTGAGTAACTTAATCACATTTTGAGGGGATAGTCCTATAACCTTCAGATCTCTATCAACTTTTAATTGATCCAAATAGGGGAAAAGTATTTTAAGAAATCAGACATGCTGGGGCACCTGGGTGGCTCAGTTGGTTAAGCATCTGACTTTGGCTCAGGTCATGATCTCAGGGGTCCTGGGATCAAGCTCCAGTTGGGCTCCCCACTCAGTAGGGAGTCTGCTTCCCCTCTCTCTCTGCCCCACCTGCCCCTCCCCTAGCTTGTCCTCTCTCTCTCAAATGAATAAATAAAATCTTTTTGAAAAAAAAAAAGTAAGACATGCCAAGAATATTAATATGTATGTATAATCCCACATAAGTAGAACTCAAGGAATGTGGTAAAGAATGAGGGGAGTGGACTTGTGTATTGACTAAGGATATTGTAAAGAATAGCATCTCCATTCCAAACTGGGATTCACCTGATCCATAATGAATTCAAGGAAGTGGATACATACTCCCTGACTTCTAGACTTTTTTTTTTTTTAAGATTTTACTCACTTATTTGAAAGAGAGAGAGCATGAGAGAGGGGAGGGTCAGAGGGAGAACCAGACTCCCCGCTGAGCAGGGAGCCCGATGCAGGACTCGATCCCAGGACTCCAGATCATGACCTGAGTCAAGGCAGTCGCTTGACCAACTGCGCCATTCAGGCGCCCTGACTTCTAGACTCTTAAGCAAGATACAAACAAATGAAACAATTAGAAAGTATGTAAATACTGAGACATTAAACTATGTAACACATGGTGTACACCTTTCAGAGGGGGGAAAAAATCAGTGGAAGGTGGGAAGAAACTTGAGAGAAAAAGTGGCAATTTCAGGAAGCCTGGCTGGCTTAGTCAGTAGAGCATAAGCCTCTTGGTCTCAGGGTCGTGAGTTCGAGCCTCATGTTGGGTGTAGAGATGACTGAAAAAAAAGAAAAAGTGGCATTTTATCTTGCCACAAAGGAAAAAGCAAGATTTAGATGGGTGGGAAGAAAGCAAAAGAGCATACAAAAGAGGGCACCTGGGTGGCTCAGTTGGTTGGGCGACTGCCTTCGGCTCAGGTCATGATCCTGGAGTCCCGGGATCGAGTCCCGCATCGGGCTCCCTGCTCGGCAGGGAGTCTGCTTCTCCCTCTGACCCTCCCCCCTCTCATGCTCTCTGTCTCTCATTCTCTCTCTCAAATAAATAAATAAAATCTTTAAAAAAAAGAAAAAGAGCATACAAAAGAATATAAGCAAAATCTCAAAGGCAGAAATGAATACAGGTACTTGTGAAATTCAATTAAAAAACCACCTCAACAGAGATGTGTCACTTCAAAACAGTGAGAAGGAAGCTGGATGCAAGGGTAAATAAAACAGGCTTGAGTCAGGGCAAGCTAAGAAATTGGGCAGAACAGTTTGGGTTTTATGCCATAGGAAACAGCCATTTCAGAGTCCTAGGCAGATGAACGAAACAAAGTAGAAGAACTTGAGAGGAATTTAGGGGTGGGCACAGCTCCCTTCCTAAACCCATCCCAACATTTGCTCTGCTTACCTCTACAGGCAGTCTAACTGACTTGTTGAAAGCACTTGGGGTCCACTGCTTAGAGATACTGACTTTAACATTGCTAAAAGTTTTTCTTGATGCGTGGAGCAACGAATAACTGCAAAAGAGAAAAGAAATACGACTGAATGAATAGCAAAGAAAACGGCATTCGATAAAATCTCAGATATAGTCCCATTTGTTTTATTCAACTTTAGAATTCTTCTCTTAAAAAAAAAGGAAAAGTACTGCTTTATGAGAACTATCAATTGAACAGTCTCTGCCAAGCAAAAGAAAAAATTAATTACTCTTCTTCATTACGAGCCCCTGTGTTCACTCATAACTTACCCCTCCACCTAGAAGATAGATGCATGACTGATCCCAACCCACTCTAAATCATGGTGGCAGTTCTGTAAAGAATTTGAAGTCTTTAACAACCGTTGGCCCCTTGATGCATTAGCCATTAAGTAGCTTTCTCTGGAGTCCTGTCTTTTCCTCCCATTGGTGTCTCCTCTCACCCCTCAAAAATGGATATCCCTAACATAAGCATCCAAAATTACCTATCAACTCTTACACAGAGAGCCATTTCCTAGTTTCTGCCTTAAAACAAACAAACAAATAAATCACATCATTTGTGGTGACTTCAATAAAGATTAATAACAAACAAAATCTGCCCAGAAGAAATAATCAAAATAGCTGAGTCTCAGGGTTATAAATAACATGGCTCCTAAAACCAAACAGCCTGATTTATGGCATCCTTGGACCACCAAAGAGAGCCACTGAGGGCCACAGAATCATAAATATGGATGATCCTTCAGTCAGGCTAACACTCGGGATCTCACAGGAGTTTCTAGAGCTCCTCACAATTGTCTCATACCATCTTTACTGCTCAAGGATGCACAGGGCACTCCCTGAATATTCGCACCCTTTGTTCTGAAGCTCCTGGTTTTAATCGTATATTAAACCAGGGTTTCTCAACCATGGCACTAGTGACATTTTCGGCCTCCCAAATTCTCTATTGTGGAAGGCTAACCTGTGCGTTGTAGGATCTACAGGAGCAACCCTGGTCTCTACCCACTGCAAGTGGCACCCTTTTGGTGACAACCAAAAATGCCTCCAGACATTGCCAAACATGGGCAAAATGGCCCTTGAAAACTACTTAGAGGTACCAGAAAGCACAGCAGAAAGAATAACCAGCCTATTTCATAAGCCCATGCCAATCACCGCACTAAACACTTGCTGTGCCAATAACTAGCTCCCTCAAACAAACAAAACCAAAAAACCCAAGGGCACAGTTTGAGCAACGAACATACCTGAAGAAGGTGAGCAGGAACACAACAACATGATGATGGCTGAACCGGGAGAACAGAGTTCCTCTTTGAAAAATATTTGGCCAGGCCATAGTCTTCCTGACCTTCCTCCTCACTTCTGACCTTAAAGTTTGGATAGTGAATTATTTACATCATTTCTTCTTTCTGGAAAGGCAAAATGCATTATCAACATTACTTAAAATAGGCAGTCTATCCAAAAACTGAATTGTGTAGACTTATAATAGTCAGTATATTATCAGACCTTGAAAAAAATCACATGGGCTAGCTGACACCAGAAAACTGACACCAGATAATTGTGTTTATAACAAGTCCCTAAAAAGAAAAATAATTTTTTTTACGATTTTTATTTATTCATTGAGACACAGAGAGAGAGAGAGGGAGAGAGAGAGAAAGAGAGCACGAGCAGGGGGAGAGGCAGAGGGAGAGGGAGAAGCAGGCTCCCTGCTGAGTCAGGA